TTACTATTTCTTAAAAATATAAAATATGGGCAATAACATATCTCATATTCTCAATAAAACACACCAGCACAGAGATCTGTAAATGTGAGTTTTATTTCTTCTTTTCCTCCATTTTTTATTCTCTCCCATTAACTGACTAATTCCTCTCTCTTACCGTCACTACCATCACTATAACAATGGAGCATAACCTTTAGAATAAGTGCTAAAGTGAAAGTGGAGAAAAGAAGAAGCAATGATAATATCCTTTGGAAGTATGAAAGAAAGCCTAAATTCCAGTTGCTTGGAATGGTCATGGTCTCAAGACCACTGAGGAGAAACGCAATCCTAGGAATAAGGGGGAGGGAGGCAATGAGCCCCTTTGGGGATTTGTCAGTCACGAGAGGTCTATGGCACATCCTCTGCTGGGGAGAAGATGACAATTTTCAGGATTCAAAACTTCTCTGTTTTAAAGTTTCTTTTCCTTTAACAGAGAATTTGAAAAGAAGCATATTTTCTAAATTTTTATAAGATATTGAATTATAAGGTATGCAGATATGATCTTGAAGCTACTCTGATGCCTACTTAGAGAACTGGCTTGCTCCTTCACTGAAGAAAATTGTCACAAATCTACAATTCCTTGAACTATGTAGGATTCACGTTCAAGGTCATGAGCTTCACTCCATTAAGTGATAAATAACTGTATCACCCCGTATTTGACATTTGACTCCTCTCTTCCACCAAGAGCACGTGCCTCCTCTGTACTTATGCTTGCCACCAAGATCAGACTTGTCCATGACTTATGAAGTAACCTGAGCTGTTTGTATTTTTAAAGACCAGACCAGTAGAGGAGACAGCAATGATTGGGTGTCCTTAAAATTCTTCCCAGTGGTCTGACATCATAGATTTTTCCTCAGGCCCATTTGAACTTTTAACAAATTCTTCCCATTGAGGCATGCTGAAACAAAATACATTATCTCAATAATTACTATCTTCGACAACCTAAAATTAACATATTATCACAACTCTATGGTACAATGGGAAAGAAATACATTCCTTCAAAAAATTGAAGAGATACTAGCACTAGGAGAGTTATAACATGCAAGCAGAAGTAAGTTTAAAAAAAAATTGTGAATTGCAGAAAAAAGTTCTGTCACACCTCATGAGAAAATGAAATCCCTTCTTATGCCTTTTCTAAAGAAATAAAAGCCAAATGAGGCCAAATTCTAAATACCATCGTTAAAGGTTGTGTTTCAATGTTAATTTCTGCCTACTTGGCATTGCATCCATGCTGAAAATGTACCATCATTACTGCCACAAATAGGGCATCTCCCTAGAAAGTGACTTTAACAATAAGTAGCTTGTTAGAAGTAGCCAATGTTGCTTCATAAACCCAAAACCTTTTAGCAAGTTTACATAAAAACTCTGATAAGGTCTTTAAAACATCGGTGATGAAGATCACACAATAGAGTAATACCCAAGGAGAACTGTCGACAGTAGCTTCCACTGGCTGCCAAGTAGATGACTTTTTTGAGATTATGGAAGGCCATTCATTTTTGTTTTCATGAACTTAAAGATGACTTAACCAAATCCCCTAACAGTAGTTAATGGTTCTTAATTATATGATGTGCTAGAATAGAAGAAAGTCTTATTCATTGAAAGGTAGTATTATTACTAAAATTGTCTAATTTTATATAACAGTAAAATTAAAAGATGACACAGCAAAGAAAGAGAAATAGCCCATGCAGCAGTTAAACAACCCCTATATTTTCACTTCTCTGGGCCAAGTTTTACTTTAGAGAATAAAGCTTAGTTGCACAAAATTTTAAGGAAGTATAAAATTAAATTTCTGAAGTCAATTTCAAGTCTAAGGAATCTGATCTAAAAATGATTCTTTTATTAATTTAGGAATAATATTTTGCATCATCGCTTGAATCTGCTAGCACTTCTGTGATGAAAATTTTGACTTCAAAGTTGAATAGCAGTATTCTCTATTTTGAGCCATCTTCATTGTTATCCTATAATATTTTGAACAAGAAGAAAAACAAACACCTGGCCCTTGAGGATGCTATAGAACATGAACATGATAAGCGCACCTGATATTGCCTACACCACTTATTTGTGAACAAGAACTCTATTTCCTTCAAACTCATGTAAACACATGGGCTAGTCAAGAGTTTCCAGTCCTCTTCTGTCTTGGGAGCGTATGTACTTGGGACTAAGTATACATCTCACCTAATTTTTTTTCATTTGATGCAGCAGACACTGTATGAAATGGATGTTCTAACACTCACACTACATACATGAAGACTTTAAGGCAAAGAGGGGTCAAATTGTATGCTAAAAACAAATAGATTTTGAAAAGTAGAAAAATTGAAATCCCTGAAGTATTCAATAGGGATGGATTCAAATGCAGGTCTAATTCCAAAACTTAGATGCTACCACTACACAATGATGCTTTCCATAGATCCAACTCTCCATTTTCTGTTCCATGTAAAGCTAAGATGGCCATCCATTCCACATAATTTTCATATTGCTTAATCATTCATAGTATGCTCCCTTCATTCACAAAAGAACACTAATTTTTCCCAAAAGAACACTAATTTATATGCTCACCCTACCCTGAAATCCATACATATAAAACTGAATATCTTTCCTACAAATTCCTAAATCTATCCTAATTACCCCCATTTAATGGAAAAAGCCAAAAAACAGGGACAGTTCTTAACTCCTTCAGTTTTCTCATTTCCCATATCCAATAATAACTCATCACATGTGAATCTTTCCTCACTTTATAACTTTCAGATTCTGCTTTTCTTTAGGTACATCTCCATTACCTGAGTTCTTACCCTCATAACCTTTTTCCTAGAATGTTGTAAAAGTTGTCAACTGATGTTTGTACTTCCAGTCTTACCTATCTCTGATCAAGTGTCCACATCACAATCAGAACGAGCTTTCAGGACACAGTTTATTATGTAAACCTTAATGGCTTCTTTTGAGTCTTCAGGCAATAGCCCATAATCTTCTCAAGACCTGAGTTCCCTTTATTAACTGTCTCTTGCTCCCTCTCCATCCTTACCTCCTACTACCCCACACAGACCATGTCCCACTGCACTAAATGTCCTCAAATTACCAAAACATGCAATGTTGTTCTCTGCCATTATGCTCCCAGGACATGTTGGCTTCCTACTGGCTGAAGAATTTCTTCTTTCTCCCTACTCCTTTCTTTATTTTTTGGATAACTGTTCCTTCTTTAGGGAATAGTTTCAACTTTCTCCATTCCAGACTAGTGTCATCCCCAGAGGTGAGAGATGCTGGAATGGAGCTCTGCCTCTCCTCTTTCTCTTTGCTTCTCCTTTTCCCACTGCCCTTCATGTCTGCATGATTGTAATTAAGTTCAAAAACTTTTTGAACTCCTGATTATTTCCCAACTCTCGCTCAGTTTGGTTTAGATGCTTTTTCTTGAAGGTCTCTATATCCAGTACATAATGATCTGATTAACTGTCTCATTCATCTTTTAATTCCAACATCAAAACTAGATCTAGGACAAACTACATATAAAAGAGATTCACAGTGCTAATAAGAAGGTATTTATTGTGTAGGATTAAATGAAAGGTGAAGATCATACTGCTGAACATAGGCATTATAGAAGGTTTATGGTACTTGTAATTTTTAACACACACCTGAAAAACTCTGAGAACCACAGACATCCCATAGAATACTATAGGTTTCCTCTCTCTTTTAAACTATGATATGCAATCTTGATTTATAATAATGTCTATTAAAATGATACAGTCATAATTTCAGAGCAGAAAAGAGCCATAGAAGTTAGTCAAGGGATTTTCAATCCATTATTTAGCAATAGATCAAAATCATACTTATGTCAACAGTACATAAAAAATTTTATTCTCCAGCTATTCCCTGGGAGTTAAAGAAGGTGGGAACAGCCAAGATGTGCAAGGCCCTGGTTCTTCTATTTATCTATGCTCCTCTCATTTGGCTGCTGGAGAGTCTAAGGTTCTGAATAGCACACTGGAACAAACTGTAACCTAATCCAAATCTTTAGTTAAAGATTAATAAAGAAGGGAAATTGAAGTTCCCAGAAGATTGTGAATTTCTCAAAAGCATCAAGTGACAAAAGATAAGACCTGAATCTCTTGGCTCCTAGGCCTGTATTCTAAATATTGTTTCTAACAGGAAAATAGCTTAGCTCTGGGATCCCTAGAAAAATGGTCCTATTCCTAGATAAGACTGTTTCTTATATTATATTACATTATATACATATATTATATTATATTATATTATACCAATACTTGGAAATGTGACATCAAAAAAGTGTTATAATTAATTATAATGAAAATAAGGATTTTATTGGTTATAAAGCACTTTACCTTGGGCTGAAGATGTGGCTCAAGCGGTAGCGTGCTCTCCTGGCATGCATGCGGCCCGGTTCGATCCTCAGCACCACATACAAACAAAGATGTTGTGTCCGCCAAAAAACTAAAAAATAAATATTAAAAAATTCTCTCTCTCCTCTCCTCTTCTCTCTCTCTCTCTCTCTCTCTCTCTCTCTCACTGTCTCTTTAATAAATAAATAAATAAATAAAATAAAGCACTTTACCTATAATGCTGATGACATTTGGCTAGACCCGATGCATTACTGGCTACTAGATGCATTAAATCTTTCCTTATGTCAAGTTCAGAGAGTTGATAAAAATAAAAGTAGTAATTTAATAGAATCCTATCAATTCCTATCTTCTAATCAGCAGCAGTAGGAAGAATCCTCTTTGAAACTGGATATAATTTGTATTGGGTCTTGTTAGGAATTATATTCTGTCCTTCAAAAATTCGAATATTGAAGTCCTAACTCCTGGTACCTCAGAATATGATCTTATTTGGAAGGGCCACTGCTGATGTCATTAGTTAAGATAAGCTCATACAGAGTAGGATGGGCCCCCAGACAGATATGATTGGTGTCCTCATAAAAGGGGGAAATTTGGAGACAAGCACACACAGGGAGAATGTTCTGAGAAAAGGGGAGTTTATTGCCACAAGTCATGAAACTACCAGAGCTAGGAGAGATTTCTGGAAAAGATCCTCTCTACTGCCTTCAGAGGGAGCATTGCTTGATTGACACCTTGATCTCAGACTCCCAGTCTCCACAACTGTGAGACAAGACATATTTGCTGTTTAAGCCACTCAGTTTGTGGCATTTTGTTATGGCAGCTCTAAAGCACTAAGACAATTCTAGATCTTCAGTTGCTCTCGGAGGGGTCTTTTCCTCAATCATCTCCAAAATTAGGTATCTTTCCTTAAATCTTCTAGTACCTACAACTTAGAACAAATGAATAAGGCAGCATTAAAAACCGGTAATGACTTCATGTAGAGAAGAAAGCAAATACAGAATCATAAAAATATAGACAATTCAATGTGCTACAAAAGCAATTATATCTAGTACCCTGTCATACATTTTAGAGAAAAATATATAACTTTTATATAACTTATATAACTGGATACAGAGCCCAATGGCCATCACATGCTTCTTTTGCCTCATTTTATCATTATCAGATTACAACATTTTAAAACTTTATTTCCACATAGGGCAATGTACAACATTATCATGTGCAAATATAGAAGAAATGTTCCAACATAAGTTTCCCATCATCATCACTCCTATTTATACATACCAGTTTATGTTCTTAGGTATAATTCCATATAAAAAGAATAGGGGACCACAATAAGCCTTACCAAAAAATTGCTAATATAAACATATTAAATATTTTTGAAGGCTTAATTTAAGCAGTGGTACACTCTAATTTCTACAAATTAAGCTATTCTTCAGTAGGTTGCTGCCAAACTAAATGTCAAAACACAATCAAACTCACAGTTTGTGATTTAGCATGTCATAAAACCATATAATCGAATTCTATCAATGTTAAATCTGTTTTCTGAAAACTCTTAAACATATCTTATCCAATGATTTCTACCTTCTTTCAAAATAAACATTTTATTTTATAAAAGCATATATATTCTACAGAATATATTTGTTTTAACCAAACAATAAAATTGGCCCTTTTAAGAACAGAAATAGCATTTGAGTGTTACCTTTTCTTTCTTATACAAATATAAGAATCAAAAAATATGGATATTTCTAAATATTGTATGCATGCTGGCTGCCTTTTTCTCTCCCCAAGAGACATAACCCTTCACTTTTTGACTTGTCTTGTGTTATAAATGGAGTCAGTGTCATAGCCTTAATTCATACCAAGAGAAGATGACCAGCATTGTATCTAGCCAGGTGACCATCCTGCCAATTCTTTCCCACAGGAGTCCACCTCAGCCACACGGAGATTCACAAGTCCCCGATTATTATATCACCAGCTCACAATGGGAACTTCATGAGTGCTGGCAAATCATTTTATTTAGTCCAGTTCAACAAATGTGTATTTATTAAGTGCCTACCATGTGCCACCATTAGACAATGTGTATAGTAACAGAAATGGAAGAGAACTTTTAAGTAACTTACAATTTAGTGATGGAGAGAGATAAGAAGATAATGACATAATGTGGTACCAGGATGCTAGGAAACCCCTTGGTCAGTTTGTCCAACAGCAGTTCACAAATTTCCTGGGAATGAAGACCTGATCTAATTTTATGAAAGATGGATAAGTCTGATCAGTGAGGAAGATGGAAAGATTTCTCCCAGGCAATGAAGCAAAGTGAGATAAAAATACGGAAGTGACGTCACAATTTAAAGCCTCTGAAGTGGACACTAAGTGTGGGATGTTCATGAGGATCCATGCATGGGGCAGGAAGTGGGAGGGGGAGGTCTGGACAGAGGGAGAAGTTGAGCAGTGATGCTGGGGGTCCCAGCATCTGACAGCACCATGGGGAGCACAGAAACCAGGAATTATTTCCCTTCCTGGCTCTTTCACTAGATTCAGGAACCTGTGAGGGTGTGACACTGGGAGAGATAGCACACTGAAACTGAGGCAATCTGCAGAAAACATGCCAGGAGCTGAAAGCAGTTAGACAGCAGGTCCTTCTTGAAGGGGACCAGGGTGGTGCATTTCTGTGTCCATCACATTGTAAATCTAAATCTAGGGTTTAGACTGTAAATTTCTATGTAGAGAGTGGTAGGAAAAGAAGCCAAAAACACAATTTTCTATTTTTTTATATGACATCGAATGCATTACAATTCCTATTATACATATAGAGCACAATTTTTCATATCTCTGATTGTATACAAAGTATATCCACAGCAATTCATGTCCTCATACATGTACTATTAATAATGATGTCCATCACATTCCACCATTTCTAACCCCCTGTCCCTCTCGTCCCCTCCCACCCCTCTACCCTATCTAGAGTTCCTCTATTTCTCCCATGCTCCCCCTACCTACCCCACTATGAATCAGCCTCCTTATATCAGAGAAAACTCAGCATTTGTTTTAGGGGGCATTAGCTAACTTCATTTAGCATTATCTTCTCCAACTCCATCCATTTACCTAAAAATGTTATGATTTTATTCTCTTTTACTGAGAGTAATATTCTGTTGTGTATATATGCCACATTTTTTTCTATCTATTCATCTACTGAAGGGCATCTAGGTTGGTTCCACAGTTTAGCTATTGTGAATTGTGCTGCTATAAACATTGATGTGGCTGTGAACCTGTAGTGTGCTGCAAAAACACAATTATCAAAGATATGGTCTCAAGATGATTTGTGGGCTCTGCTGGAGAGAGCCAACTGCACATGTCTCTTCCCAAATCCACATCTATGACATCACTGTGTGACTTGAAATCATCCTGGGTGGAAGTATGTGCAACACAGAAATTGGGAAAAGTTATAAATCAAGGCTTGATTTTTCTAAAAGTTTACCAGCACAAAACTTCATCATTCCTCCCTGCAGCTATAAACTCAGATTTGAATCATGATGAATAAGAATCCCTGGCAAGAAACACTCTATAAGCTGCTGGAAACATAAGGGGCCAGAGACCAGTTAGCTTCATCTCTTTATGCTGAGAGAAGCAAGGACTCTTTCATCTCCTAATCCTTCCACTAACCTCACTCCCTTAGCAAATGGGAGTCTTAGTGGAAAATTTATTCATTGCAAGTATTGTTTTTGCAAGTAATTCAAGAATGTGTATTTTCGTCCTACTGTGTGCCAGAAACTTAGATGGTGCTGCAAATGTAATGGTGAGCAAACAGATTTCATTTCTGTTCTTAGAATTTCTTGTTAAGTGGGGGATAAAAATATCACTAAAATCATAAAATAATGTATAATCACAAAGGCTGATAAATACTATGAAGAAAATATGGAGAATGAAGAAAAAATAATTACATTAAATATCTTCAATATTTTAAGCTTCTGGACCACTTACAATAATATAAAATAAGACATCATTGTTATTAGATGCTATAAATTAAAGCTTGTGATGATATAGTTTCATAAAAAGCCCATTATAACCATTTTAAGGTGTACTCTTATTAAATATTGATATATTTTTTTGAAAAATCTCAGTATATGCACTCTGATAATCACAGGACCTCCTATGAAGGACCTCCTCCTTTTTCATTTACTATATCATTATTGTATCTCTTATATATCACTGCATTCCCCTACTATATCATTACAAAGGAACACAGGAAAATTGGAATAGTATCAAATTATAATTTTTCCCATCAGCTTACCATGTGATAATGTGAAGAATATCTCATGTAAGTATTATGAAATTGTACTAAAATAGATTCTTGGCTACAGTATTCAGTTTATTCTAAATAATTATCTTGAAGATTGTCAGATAAAATCCTCTGATTAAGAAAAAATATTTGGCAAAGAGAATATAGCACGTCACCTTCAAATTCACATTCCTAACCTGATAGTGAGATCAAAAAATGTCTGAATTTTATTTATTAACATTATTCTAGGAAAAAAATAGTATTTTTTCCTTGGAAAAGGCTGAGGCTTATGCCTGACATATAGCTAACAATACATGAAAAAGAAATTTAACATTATTCATGATATCACATTCATATGACACATGATGAACGCACGGTTAAAGCACATATCAAATCCTCAGTCTGCTCTGTTTTAGAGGATTTGAAAAGTAAAACTTTCCATTTGTGACATGATGATTTTGTACTTATGAATTCCTGTCGGATCAAAAATAATTAAAATCCAGGGCAATTAACTTCTACTTCTGATGGTCAAGTTTTTGATTAACAAGACTTTGCCAGTGTTACTATCTATGATCTTCGCCACAAAGTCATTACAAAATACATCTCTAGAATGATGTGAAAATGTGTGTTTCCACTGTGGACTGCACCAAAGAGTTAAAATACCTCAACACATTATACATATATTCATACATGGGGCCAAAGGGATACCATTCTCATTTTTCATCATCAAGGCATTCATAAGACTTCTATCTTCTTTTGCTTTTGTGACCTCTAGCCAGAAAGGCCAAAGTAAATAAAGGTCAAGATAGATGTCAAATCAAGCAATTACTAAACAGGGAACTTGGCTGTGACCCTCAGATTAGAAATGGTGACCTGTCACAGCAACAGGGGAAAACCTTCCTGTAACTCCTCTCCCATCTCATGAAATACAATCGAGATTTGCAGCCCAGACTGGAAAAAAAAAATTGATATCTGTCATTTGCCTTTTAATCTTTTCTACCCTTCATATTGGGGTTGTCCTCCCATTTTCTCCTTGGCCATAGACTCTGAATTGTAGATATTTGAGAGGAAAAATTAGTGGGAACTAGGATTGGGAAGAGAAAGCTCACCTATCATGAAAAAATGAGAATGAGCCAGCTCATCACAAAATGCTATAATATTAGTTTTCTTCACATAGCTTTCTGTGGAACTTCATTAAAATTAGAGAATTTTGTGTAATGGTAGCAATCTCAATCAACAAGGTTCCTATTCTTTCTACAGTTAACTATACGTAGGAAAAAATGATTTTGAAATATTCTTTGGAGAAAGTGACTAAAATTTGAAAATTCATTTACATACATCATTTCTGGACCTGTTTTTTACAGAATTTCTAGAATCTCATTTTTCCTCTTTGCCCCCAGAAAATTGCCACTCTTCACCTCAGATGCTATGTTGAAAATATTGAATTTATACTATCACTCTCCAAATCCACTCCTTAATTCTTCCACCTCCTTAAGCCTCTCATCATTTAAAAGACATATAGTCCTTTCATTGTCAAGAAAGAAAGAAAGAAACAAAGAAACAAACTAAAGATTTACTCATGAATTTTGAGTTGGGACAAAACTAAATAAGTGAATTTTGTCACACTTATAGTTTGACAGTGGAGTCTCACA